TAGGAGTGGCAGAGATCTAGGAGTGGCAGAGATCTAGGAGTGGCAGACTTCCAAAATGGGGAGTTTGCAAAGTGCCAGGGAAGAGAAAGCTCACACATAAAATTAAAAACAAGGCTCTTAAATCTCAGCTTAATTAAAAATTTTCATTTTATATTGGACAACAACTTTAATCTTTTGACACAAATGAAATCCTTAATTTTGGTGCAAACATTATCAATTGAAGAATTGGGGTAACTTTAATAATTTTGACTGTCACATGTTAGTGTGGTAACAATATGGTTGACTCTTAACTGCCCTCTGGGCAATTAGGGATGGGCAATAAATGCAGCCCTCGGCAGTGGAGACAACGTCCCATGAATGAAAGAAGATAGCTTGTTATCCATGATCTTTACATCTGTCAGCTCAGGAGGAATAACTAAGATGGCCGATATAACATGATCTTTTACATTCAAAGTTTAAAAGATGTTTTTTAAACATCCAGACTTTGAAATTGCAATAATTTTACAGGGTAATTACAATGAACTATCCAAGAAATCTCATAAACCTGCTCTGAGCCTATACATAAAGACTGATTGTAGAGGATAACAAATAGAGGAATACAGCGTTGTAGGATAGCTAACTAGTTTTGTGACATGCTGTTATTTGAATTGCTTTAGATGTAGTGCATTTGGGAGAAATAAGCAATAGGCCAATTAGCTATTAATGAGTTAGATTGGTTGTTGATCCAATGTAGTTCATTGGCTAAGTGGATTTGTGGTTTGTGGTATCCCCCACTTCTGGGCTAGAAGATTTAGGTTCAAGGCACTCCTGCTCTGGTGGTGTATCATAACATGAACAGATTTTAAAATACTTTTAGGGGCTTTTGTGATGTTTTAGAAGTGTCTCTACCTCTGGCTAGAAGCTTTGGTTCAAGTCCTGCTCTGGAGCTGTATTGTGTCTGAAAAAGTTAATTAAAACTACATTTTTTTAATCAAAGTACAGTTTCAGAAATTGAAATTTGAGTTATTAATGCTTGGTACCGTAGTAAATGGTTAAATTTTACATTTTGCTAGTAATAGAATAAATTATTAGTGTTGGAGAATGTAAACGTGCGTAGAGGTGAAGATAATTTTAAATTATTTTCAAACCTTTGTATTTGTACGTTAAATACTAAATCATTATGCCTACTTTAACATTCCTGTCACGTGCTTTGTAGGCTGTGAACATTTGCTGTATAAATGCAAATTGTTTCTTTTAATGTAATGTAATATTGCAAGATAGCAGGTGCATTATAAAACAAATATGCCATAGGGCCACACAAGGAGAATTAGCTCATATGACCAAACCCCTGTCAGAGGTGCATATTAAGGAGTGTCTTAAAGAAATACGGTGAGGTGTAAAGGGAGGGAATTTCAGAGTTTAGGACCTTGGCATAGTTATTGACTGGATTGGATTTGGCCTGTGTTTTGTGGACGAGATGTACCTTGACAATTTTCAATGCAGGTGGTGTTGTAGCTGTATCAGAACAGCTTTGCAGTCACCCTGGCTAGTTCTGGAGCAGTCTTCAGGATTACAGCAGGGTCTGTAGCTTTTATGTGTCTAGTTCTTTCAGTCATTTTTTGAAATCACATGGAGTGAAGTGAATTCGCTGAAGAGTGATATCTATAATATTGAGTATATCAAGAGGGTGAGATGTATCATACTTGCAACTACTTCAGCTTAATTTTTGCACTGATGTGCCTGGCTTTCCCATCAATAGTGGTTGTAAAATTTTATTTTGGACCACTAGTTAAGAGGAAATGTTGGTTTCACATAGTGATCGGGTGAGCTAAAATGAAATGGATCTCTATGGAATGCTCTTTCTTGAGTGAGTGAATTAATAAATGTATAACATGCTAGTTTAAGGATAACCGAACTGGGCAGAGGAATGATGCTAGTTGAGTTGCTGCAACAGAGCTAGCACAGACTTAATTTGCTAAATGGCCTCCTTCTGTCCTGTTAAACATTTAGAGTCTCACACATTATGGATGAGCCACTGCTGTGCTCAAACTTAGATATTATTAAACATTTCTTTTCTGTATGGTGTTAGATTTAATAATAAAATATTTCAGATCTATATTTGTAAGATCAGCCACGACTTCATTGAATGGCGGAGAAACACAACGGACCATTTGATCCATTCCTGCTCCTATTTCTTATGCTAATCCAATTGACTGTCTATAATTGTATATGAAACTCAGACTTGTTATGTTATTGACTTTAATTCTGGAAACTGTAATTTCAGGATTTACAGAGCACTAACCTTCTTGAGGTGTGCATGGCTCTGACTGTTGCCAGCCAGCTATTCCCACCAGAAATGATCCCTGCAGTTCTTCCTCTGGTTGAAGAGAAGCTTCAGCACTCTAAGTAAGGGAATATGAAGAAAATTTATAAAGTTGCAGCATTCATTATATTTTGTAAGGCGAGATGAGCACTTATTTCATAACCTGAATCTGGTCAGGGAATGTACATTGCAAGTTTTGTGTTTTATTAGATTCAGTCACATTTTCACTGGGACGGGAGAAGATTGGCACTGTTTAGAGTTTATATTGTAACCATATTTCTCGGGCATTCTTATTCTGTTGCCTTAGCAAATTACTAAATATTCCTTGCACCTCTTCCCCCTTACTCCCATGCCAATTGATAGGTTTAAAGTTGAGTTCAAAATGATCCTAATTTGCCTGAATGAAGATGACAGGAATTGTGTGTGTACGTGCAGGCAAAGAAAACTCCAAACACTGGCTGACCGGAAAATACTTTTTGTCTCACTGATAAAACTGAGTAACCTGCAGCACCAATGACCTGCATATTTTATCTAAAAAATGGCATTGCAGTTCTACAGAGGGCTATCTCCACTGACTGAAGACAGTAATATATTTTAAAATAATTTGTAAAAATTATATGGCTTAAAATTGGAACCTGCAGTAAGTGAACTAACTTGGGAAGAAGTCGAATATGAGGATATTTTCATTCTACAATTCTCTGTACCTGAGTGAGATGTTCCATTAGGAATCCAATTGCCAGTTAGTGCGCTTCACATGGAATAGAGTCATTCAGCACAGAAACAGACCCTTTGGTCCAACTTGTCCATGCCGACCATGTTCCCAAACTAAACTAGTCCCTCTTGCCTGTGTTTGGCCCATATCCCTCCAAACTGTTCCTATTTAAGTACCTAAACAAATGTCCTTTAAATGGTATAAATGTACTTGCATCTACCACTTCCTCTGGCAGTTCTCTCCGCATACAAACCACTCTGTTTGAAAATGTAGTTGTCCAATCCCTTTTAAATCTTTGTCCTCGCATCTTAAAAATATGCCCCCTAATTGTGAACACCCCCATCCTGTGGAAAAGATCTTTTACTATTCACCTTATCTATGTTTATGATTTTATAAACTTTTATAAGGTCAATCCTCAGCCTCCTGCACTCTAGAGAAAAGGTCCCAGCCTATCCAGTCTCTCCTTATGACACAAACCCTCCTCATCCTCATAATCTTTCCTGAACCCACTCCAGTTTAATAATATCCTCCTTATAGCAGGGCGACCAGAACTGTACGCACTACTCCAAAAGTACTCCTCACCAGTGTCCTGTACAACCTCAACATGATGTCCCAACTCCTACACTCAATGTTCTGAGCAAAGAAGGCAAGCGTGCTAAATGCTGCCTTAACCATCCTGTCTACCTGTCTCGCAACTTTCAAAGAACTACATACCTGAACCCCTAGGTCAGGTCAACACTACCCAGGACCCTACCATTAACTGTATATAGCCTGCCCTTGTTTGCTTTACCAAAATGCAATAACTTGCATTTATCCAAATTAAACACCATCTGCCAGTCCTCAGCCCATTGGCCCAATTGATCATGATCGCTTTGTAATCTTAGATAACCTTCTTCACTGTCTACTATACCACCAATTTTGGTGTCATCCACAAACTTACTAACCATGCCTTCTAAATTCTCATCCAAATTGTTTATATAAATGACAAACAAAAGTGGACCCAGCATCGATCCCTGCGGAATACCGGTGGTAACAGGCCTCCAGTCCGAAAAGCAACCCTCCACAACCACCACACTCTGATTGCTACCAACAAGCCAATTTTGTAAACAGTTGGCAAGTTCTCCGTGAATCTCATGTGTTCTAACTTTACTAAATAGCCTACCATGCGGAACCTTGTCAAAAGCTTTACTAAAGTTCATGTAGACAACATCTACCACTCTAGTTTGGTTACATCCTCAAAAAACTCAATCAGGCTTGTGAGACATGATTTCCCTTGCACAAACCCTGCTGACTATCCCTATGCACGTAAATCCTATTTCTCAGCATCCCCTCCAACAACTTACCCAACTCTGACATCGGACTCACTGGTCTGTAGTTCCCAGGCTTCTCCTTAGAGCCTTTCTTAAATAAAGTCAAATTAGCCACCCTCCAGGCCTCTGGCACTTAACCCATGGCTACAGATGATACAAATATTTCAGCAAGAAGTCCTGCAATTTCCTCTCTAATTTCCCACAACATCCTGGGATACACTTGATCAGATCCTGGAGATCTATCCACCTTTGTTTTTTAAGATCTCCAGCACTCCCTCTTCTGAAATATAGACTGCTTTCAAGACATCAGTATTTATTTCCCTGAGTTCCCTAGCCTCCATTTCTTTATCCACAGTAATAACTGATACAAAATATTCATTTAGTATCTCTCCCAACTCCTGTAGTTTCACATGTAGATGACCTTGTTGGTCTTTAAAGGGCCTTATTCTCTCCCTAGTTGCTTTTTTTTTGCTCTTAATGTACTTGTAGAATCTCTTTGGATTGTCCTTAATCTTATGTGCTGAGGCTATCTCATATTCCCTTTTTGCCATCCTGATTTCCCTCTTAAGAATGCCCCTACACCCCATATACTCTTCAAGAGACTCACTTGATCCCACTTGTCTATACCTAATATATAACTCCTCCTTATTCTTGACCAGAGCCTCAATATTTTTATTCATCCATTGTTCCCTACTCTTACTCAACTTACCTTCATACTAATAGGAACATACTGCCTCTGAACTCTTGTTCTCTCATTTTTTGAAAGCTTCTCACTTGCCTGTCACCCCTTTACTTGCAAACAGTTTACTGCAATCAGCTTTTGAAAGTTCCTGTCTCATACCGTTTGCTATACTCCAGTTAAGAATTTTAACTTGGATGCCAGGCCTATTCTTTTCTATAACTATTGTAAAACTAGTAGAATTATGATCATTGGTTCCAAAGTGCTCCCCCACTAATACTTCAGTCACTTGCCCTGCCTTAATTCCCAAGAGAAGGTTGAGTTTTGCTCCATCTCTAATATGTACATATTGATAAAGAAACTTTTGAACACATTTAACAAATTCCTCACTATCCAAGCCCTTAACACTATGTCAGTCCCAGTCATTGTTTGGAAAGTTAACATCCCCTACTATTTCAACCCTATTATTTTACATATATCTGAGATCTCCGTACATATTTGCCAGTCAATTTCCCTCTGACTGTTGGGGGCTTGTAGTACAGTCCCTTCAAGGTGATCATCCTGTTCCTATTTCTGAGTTCCACCCATATAGCTTCACTGGACGATCCCTCAGAAATATCCTCTCTAAGTACAGCAGTAATGTTTTCTCTAATCACAACTGCCACTCCCCCTCCTTTCTCGATTCCCTTTCTATTCTTCCTATAGCATTTAAACCCTGGAATGTCGAACTGCTAGTCCTAACCCTCCCTGAGCCATGCTTCTGTAATAGATATGATGTCCCAATCCCACGTTCCTGTACATGCTCTGAATTAATCTGCCTTGCCTGTAAGACCTGTTGCATTGAAATCAATGCAGTTTAATTCTTCAGAGTTATCTTGTTCTCTGACTTGCTGTTGCCTGCCTTTTCTAGTTAACTTTAACTCTTTTTAAATTCAGAACTGTCCTCCTGTCTTTCTATCCTCATTACTACTTAGGATCCCCCATCTCCCCCTCCATACTAATGTAAAGGTTCCCAAATAAAATTAATAAATTTCCCTGCTAAGATATTGATCCCTCCCCAGTGCAGGTGAAACCCATCTTTTTTGAGCAGTCTCTTCTGCCCCAGAAGACATCCCAATGATCCAAAAATCTGAATCCTCACCCCCTGCACCAGCTCCTCAGCATTGATTTATCTGCCCTGTCTTCTTATTCCTACTCTCACTAGCACATGGCACTGGGAGTAAACCAGAGGTTGCTATCTTTTGAGGTTCTGCTTTTTAACCTCGTACCTAAATTCCTACATTCACTCTGCAAAACCTCAACCCTTTCCCTAACTATGTCATTCTTACCAGAGTACAACAATTTCCAGCTTTTTCACTCTTCCCTTTGACAATATGCTGCAACTTTTTTGAGATGTCCTTGACCCTGGCAGCAGGGAGGCAAGATACCATCCTGAATTAATGCTTACATAGAGTCATAGAATCTCTACGGTGTGAAAGCAGGCCATTCGGCCCATTAAGTCCACACTGACATCCCTACTCTATCCCGGCAACCCTGCATTTCCCATGGCCAATCCACCTAACCTGCACAGCTTTAGACTTGAGATCCACGTAGACACGGGGAGAATGTGCAAACTCCATGCAGACAGTTACCTGAGGGTGGAATCAAATCCAGGTCCCTGGCGCTGTGAGGCAGCAGTGCTAACCATTGAACCACCATGCTGCCCCTCAGTCTTGGAGCTTTAGACTCTCCAGTCTCTGCCCCTGACAGGATAGGCCCCACAACAATTACTCTTCTGAATCTTGACAAACCCTGGTTAACAGAAGATTCATTCTTGGTGCCCGAGATCTGGCTGCTGCTTCTATTTTCCTCTGGGAGACTGTCCCCTCAACAGTGTATCTGTTTGAGAGAGGAATAGTCATAGGAGACTCCTGAACTACCTTCCTATCTCTCCTGACAGTCGTCCATGTATCTGACTGAACCTGCAGTGTAACCGCCTCTCTAAATCTATTAACCATCACTCTGTGTCTCCTGTACGCTCCTCAGTGACTCCAACTGCCTCACCAGTTGATCCAAGCAGTCTGATATGAGATGGATCCAAACGCACCTCCTGCAGACATAGTTGCCCGGGAGAGTCAACTGTTCCCTAATCTCCTACATCTGACATGAGGAACATACCACTCCATTGACTGCCATAATAGCTCCTTAAAAATTGCTTATGTAGATTTGCCATTTTTCTCAAATCCAGTGTTTGTAGACTGACACACTGCTGGGACAACTTAAAAAAAACTATATTGTAAAGTCTAGAAGAAGTTCTAAATACAACCTTTTTTTAAAAAATGGACAAACTACCCTTCCCTTTCCCACAACTTTTAGTTTTAAGCATGCAAAAGTGGAAAAAATTAATATTTAAAACCTTAAAAACCCAGCACTTAGCAGAAACTCCCATCAACTGAAAACAGCCTCTTCCTCAAATCCTGTATGAGTCAGCTGTCAAGTCTCGATCTGAGTAAAGGAATGTCATTATTTAAACTGCTAATATCGAAACCTCAACAAGTTGAAAAGGTCACTCTTCAAACAACAATAAGATTGTTTGCTGTTATTGAGTTTCTGTACTTAGTTTAGAGGAGTATTAAGGCTCCTCGTTCTTGACATGCTTCTTGTGTTATTGGTGGTTCTGCCACCAAGAAGATTCTCCCATTTGTTTTTTTAATTTGTTAGCTATGTTTGCAAATTTGGCATCTGGAGTTTGATGCAGAAAATTGTTGCAAAATTCTAGATCATGCAAATGGACTTTGTAGGACATTTGGTTTGGCAATGAGCATATGACCGATTTAAAGGGAGGGGTTGAAAGTTTGTTTTTGTTTGGAGCTGATATTTATAACAGAAAATGTTAAAGCAGGAAATAACAGAATACTGCTTTATGAGTAATGCCCTGGCTCCTGACCGGTCTTTTTTATAGATGTTCAATTAAGTATTTGTGAATGCTATGTTATAAATGTGTTCTATCATTAAATATTGCTTCTTTACAGGGAAATAATAAGAAGAAAAGCAGTACTTGCCCTGTACAAATTTTACCTTATTGCTCCAAACCAAGTTCAACATATTCATGACAAGTTTAGGAAAGCTCTATGTGACAGGGACCCTGGAGTCATGGCTGCCTCCCTTCACATCTACCTACTGCTGATCAAGGTATCCCATTATAACCATTAATAGAGAAGCCAAGCTATTTTTGTTGGCAGTTTTGTTTTAGTAACCAAAACTCATGATCCATTCACAAGGTTTTCAAATGCCATCAATTCACGGTCAAAGTTTAAAAGTAGAATAATGAGTTTAAATTTCTTAAATTAATTAGAAATATTTTTAAAAATGTTCTGGTAAATGCTCAGCAATCCTATCAAGTAATGGTGTGTGAACCTAGATACCAAGTGTTAATGGACCATCTGACTAGTGGTTTTGAGCTTAGTCAATGATATGCTACTAAATCACATTTTTCAGTAGAAGTCATTGGCTTACATTTAGGAATGGACCTCCCATTGACTGCTTCTTCTACCTCACAGCAAGCAAGTCCTGACAGAAATATTCAGTCACAGTGGCTAACCTAGAATATGCTTGAAATCAAGTTAAAGGTTTTTGTTTTGAATGCCTTAGAGCTCCAACAAGCAATATCCTCCAGGCTAGCAGAGCAGGAACAATGGTCAAGTGAACCTTTTGAAGCAGTTGTTCATTTTTAAGCCTTGGTGGAATTAAATGTAATTGTTTAGTTCTTCTCTTCTAGGAAAATCCGGGTGGCTATAAAGATTTAACCGGGAGCTTTGTAACGATTCTCAAGCAAGTAGTTGGAGGAAAACTTGCAGTGGATTTCAACTACCATAGTGTACCAGCACCTTGGCTCCAGATTCAGCTGCTGAGAATTTTGAGATTACTGGGAAAGGATGACCCGATGTAAGTTCTTGTCCTAGTTTTCCTTTTTAATGTTTGATGTTGTGATACTTGGAAATGAAAATGTTACGAGGAAATCTTGCATTGGCTTTACTCAGTGTTCACTGGGGAAGTTGCTCCATTTATTACAGACAGAAGAATGCTGCAGCAGTGCTTCTGGAACAACAAAGAGCAATAGGCAGTGCCATTACTGAATTAATAATTGATTTTGATGCGCCCTTGCATTAAAACTACCATTGCAAGGATTTTGATTCATTTTAAGCTAATGTCTCAAAATGTTACAAGAAGTGAAAACAATATATCATCTTCGGCTGAAAATGAACAGAAGCCAAGAGATTTTGGTATTTTGCGCAGATGTAATTTTGTCCCTGTTTAAAATTGTGCACTCTGTCTTTACTTTTGTTCTTATTTTGTTTGTAAGCTCCCGTGTGTATATCTATACAGCAATTGTAACCTACTCTCTAAATTTGTAAATGTACTGAATATATTTTTGTAAGAGCTGAATGTTTGAGATCAGTTTTTTAAGGCAATCATTATGTGAGTGATTTTTATTTGGGTTTTAATTTTGAGGGGTTGGTATGCATGTTTGATTTGGGCCCAAATAAGGTACAGAAAAGACCATCATAATGGAATAAAATAAACACCAATAACAGAATAATGTGTAATAGTATGTTTTAATTCTCCTTTCATAATTTGATAACTTCAATTTAAATAAATAAAATCTTAGATGTATGAATGTGTTATGCATTACTTTAACAGTATTCAATTTCATTTGCATTTCTATTACAGAATTATACAATACTTTCACAGTGGAGGCCATTCAGTTTGTTGTGCCTGTACCTAACACACTCCTGCCTTCTTCCTGTAGCTTCAACGTTCTTCTTTATAGTTTTTAAATGAACTTGAGTCATTAACCTGTTCCTGGATTATTTGTTCCTAACAGTCTGGGTGTACCCCCATCACATGGACTGCAGCGTTCAAGAAGGCAGCTCACGAACGTTGCCTTGGGGCAGTTAGGGTTGGGCTATAAATGCGGCCTAGGAACTGAGGCTCACATGCTGAAATTGATACTGAGGATTTTGAGCTGCATTTGATTCCTGATATATATTTTTAAAAATTAGGACTTCAGCTCAAAAACCACAGAGATTTTACATGAACCTCTACAGTATTACTTCATCTTGCAGAAACTGCATGGAAGGGAAGGTTGACGAGTAGTTCTGAACCACTGAAAGGTGCTATATATATGCAATTTCTTTAATAAATTCTATGATGTGCTTAAAAGTTATTTCTGAATCTTCAAATTTCAAGTTTTTTTGAATCGTCTGCTGATATCATGTTACCGCAGACTGTGTAACTGAAAATTTGCACAATGATTTTTAAATGCAGAGTCCATCCAAGTTCGTAATTCAATTTGATAAGTAGTTGAAGTCTTTTTGAAGTTTAACAATTTTTAATCCTTTAGTGTAAAACTAGGAGTGAGCATTTAATTACCATTTCTGTTAGTGTGTGAATTTGAGCAGAAATTTCAGCTACCTGGTCCAGGTTTAGACAGCAATACATTGCTTTTTAAAAAAAAATACAAGTCTGTTTGCCATTGGTGAAACTGATTTCTTTGAAAATATTAACCAGATATGGTTCAGAAACCAATTTACTTTTCATTATATATGAATTCAGCTCCTGTGAATTATCACTGTAAGACAAGTTAACTTAAAATGTACATTCACTTATTGTTAATACTTACTTGCACCACAAAATCAATAGAAATGAAATTCCTGTCTTTGGTTCCTAGTCAATTTGCTCTCTAAGGCTTTAGTGAGACCTTTAGTTACTTGGATGATATGTTGCGGAAATGCCCATATTGCGTACGGGCAAAATCGTTAAGAAGAAAGCTAATTAAAAGGGCACAATGTATATGAAGAAGTCCACTTTGGATGTATTAGTGTAACCGTCTCTCTTAATTCAGTTGTTAGCTGTCAGTCTTGGTTCACTAGTAACTCTCATCTGAGTCACATGGCCTTGCATTCAAACTCCTCTCCAGTCACTTGAGAGCACAATCTAACTTGACATTTCATTGCAGTGCTGAGGAGATATAGCTTTGTCAGAGATGCCCTTTTTTGAATGAGAAGTTAAACTGCGGCCCCATCAACCCCCTCAGCTGTGTGTAAAAAGAAATCCCATCTTATTTGAAGAAAGGAGATTAGTTTGCATGGTGTATTGATCAATGTTGATGCTTCAACAAGCATCACTAAACAAGTTTATATGACAAATAACCCATACTGCTGCTGTTAGGACCTAACTGCATACATTGGTATCAAGTTTGCCTAAAAATACTTCTTTGAAGTGCCTTTGGACATTTTGAACTTGTGAAAGGTGCTACATAATTGCAATCTTTCTGTTATTTACCTTCCTGTCTTTTATTTATTTACCAGGACACTTATTAATCTTGGTTTGCAATCTCTCTGAAATGTGCTGTTGTTCTTTTTGGGACAGAACAAGTGAACAGATGTATGATGTTCTGGACGAGTCTTTGCGAAGAGCTGAAATCAACCACAATATAACTTATGGTAACTGTCGGCAAGTTCAGCTTGTTTTATTTCTGTGTCATATGAAGGAGCCAATTCAATGTAGATCAGCTCTCAAACCAAGACATAGTGAAGAGTTAACGAACAACTTCTTGACATCATTAATATTGGTTTCCAGTCAAAGTGTTTCCACTAGACGTACTCACAAGTTTATCTCAGAGCCCCTAATTTAAAATCTCCTGAACTGCTCCAATGTTTGGGATAATTGTGTCTCCTTCTGCCTAAAAAGGTGAAGGTGCTGATCTGCTGTGGCCCAACTGGTTTGATTGCAAATCATTTTAAATTAAAAGCCCAGTAGTTGGCAGTTTGGTATTTTCTTTCTGGTTGATACATGTGAATATCCAAACTACAATCATCTGAATCTTCTAGAGTATTGTAATGAAATGTCATGACTGAGAACTTTGGATATAGACCAGCACCGTTCTCTGTTGAAATATTGGTAAATAAACCCTCTGGTATTTTAGTTTCCTTAAATGTGTGAAGTAATCTTGAATTTTGATCAACAATGAATGCAAGCTGTTTCATTATTTAAAACAAGGTTGGATTGCTGTGTTACGTTGCTTACAGGTTGACGTTGTTTGCAGTTCACTTGGAAAGCTGCAGTTTAGGAGTGTGTAGTAATAGTTGGGGTAATTATCATAATCAATAGAGTGGATCAGGAGAATTAAGATTTGTGATAGGCAGCAATTTGTGATTACAATATTGAGTGTGTACCTGACCTGCAAGTGCTTGAAACTTGCTTTGTAACAAACGAAGCATTTATTTGAAAATAAAATGACTTAATTTCCACCCCCCTGCCCAAAAAGAATTTGCCATTTTTATAGCATGAAATACGATGACATCTAAATTGTGACAGAAAACAAAGCGTTATATGGTATTTATTCTGCAGTGACATTTGTAGCCTGCGAGTTATGCCTCACTTCTGATCCAAATGCTTAGTCTGAAATGTACATTTCACTGTTTCTTGATGGAATATTTCGTAAATCCACATGATGTGATATAAATTATTCCATGTAAAACAGCATTCATGAAGTGAATGCCAGAAAATAGTATTTTCTACCAATTGTTCCAATAACTTGTGCAAACCTTCTCTGTCCAGAGACTGGGCCTGTATTCTCTGGAGGTTAAAAGAATGAAAGCTACCACGTAGAAACTTACACAATCCTTAAAGGGATTGATAGAGCAAACGCAGAGAAGATATTTGCCCTGACTCTGGGGTCTAGTATCAGTGGCCCAGTGTCAGAATTAAAGGCAAGCCATTTAAAAAGTCCTTCACTGAGAGGGTGGTGATCTTTGAAATTCTGTACCCTGGATGGCTGAGGCAGCTCAAATTAAGCTCCAAGTCACAGATTGATAGATTTATAGTTAATAATGGCATCAAAAGATAATGAAATAGTGCAAACATACGGTGTTGAGATAGACAATCAACTATGGTTTAGAATGAGAGTAGGCTGGAGGCTGCATGGCCTACTGCTGCTCCGATGTTATGTAATGGTAAAAGCTTTGTGTGGTAACTGAATTCCGCAAGTCACTAACATTTTGGCCTTTTTAAGTTGTCCATTTGGATTCCTTATAACTTATTTTGTCTGAACTTGAACTGTCTTATTTGAGATTTCTCATGTTTGTTTCTCCTTTGATTTCTTGCAACCAACCTGAAGAGTAAGATTGCAAATAGATCTGAGATTGACTCCGAAATATTGATATTTATTTTCTTACACTTTATTTAATGTTAAAATGTATTATTTCCTTAGATGTGTGTCACTACAATACATAACCACAGATCTGAAAGTATCTGTTGCTTCCCTATTGCATTAACTTCTACTTTACATTTTTTTCAGCAATTTTGTTTGAGTGTATTCAAACAGTATATACTATTCATCCAAAGGCAGATCTAATGGAGAAAGCAGCCAAGTGTAATGGAAAATTTATCTTATCACCTAAAAACAACTTAAAGTATCTGGGTAAGACTATTTTATGAAATAACTCGTCATATTTTTATTTTACATTTACGTACATGTTGAAATGTGAACTTTTTTTATTTTTGTGTTTCAGGATTAAAAGCTCTCACATATGTAATCCAGCAAGATTTAAATCTTGTTCTTCAGCACCAAATGACAATAATTGAGTGCCTGGATCACCCTGACCCGATTATAAAGCGAGAGGTAAGAGTTGTTTTGACCTGTGTTGTTTGAATATGAACGCTAATGAGATGGTGTTGTACATGTTCAAAATTGATGTGTAGTTCCGTTAACTACATTTCCATTACCAATTACATTAGTCAGCAGCATTTTCTTTAGAGGGATATTTTTCAAACGCATTTAAAAGAGTCACTATAGGTTGTAAATCACAGTTGAAGATTGATTCTGGGAAGAGCATGTGAATTTTGGACGATTAATGCTGCCCATTTTGTACAGTTTGCTTGAGTGTTTCCTGATTTTAGTCTGACTGTTATATCATCTATGTTGTGCTCTTTTAACAGACTCTAGAATTGCTCTACCGAATCACAAATGCGCAGAATGTAACTGTTATTGTCCAAAAACTGCTGGAGTACTTAAGAGAAAGCAAAGATGAATACGTCACCATCAGTTTAGTTGGCAAAGTAGCTGAACTTGCTGAAAAATATCCTTCCAACTCAGCAAATCAGTCAAGACATATTGGTGTTGTGTGAACTAATGGGCAGTATTATTTTGTTTCATAATTAGAATGAGAGGATTGCTGTGATTGAAAATATGGAGATTGAGTAATGAAGTATTCTGGCATTGATTGAAAAATGGTGTTTGTAATTCTGATTCTGTTGGAAATGTTTGTGAAATGTCGACTGAATTATTATTCAATGGTAATTCAAAGTAGAAAACAGTGTACAAGAGGCATTTATTTTGCAAATGGGAAATCCCTGTAAGTCATGCAGTCATGAATGCTTTTGAGACAGTGGGACAAGGTAGGACAACAAATGCAATGATTTCCACAACCCATGTTTGTTCCATTAATTTTCAGGTGGATTGCAAGAAGAGGGTTCTGTACATCTACCCCAATGTAGTGGCAAGATGAAATTTTGCCTTGTGATAGAATTTAAATTTATATAGTTGGTTTGTACTTCATTACACACAAAGTGACAACCTGAGCTCCTATATGGTAGATTTGTAATTGGCACTGAATAGAGTGAAAATGGGAGCACAAAAGTAAATAGTTATGAAATTAAATTCTATTTTTGAAATAAAATACAGTCTTATCTTTTGGCATAGTAAGAACTGCCGATGCTGGAGTCAGAGAACACAGTGTGGAGCTGGAGGAACACAGCAGGCCAGGCAGCGTCAGAGGAGCAGGAAAGTTGACATTTCGGATCGGCACCCTTCTTCAGAAAATTCTGCTCCCTGACGAAGGG